AGGCAGTTTCTCACTGTTAGCAGATAGGAAGAGGGCCAAGGGCAGCCAGGAGGTTGCCTATGGGGTGGTGGAAAAAACCCTAGGCCCCATAAGGGATGAGATGTGGGCTCTGGGCACTCATCTATTCTCAATCTTTCCTCCGCGACCACCAGCTATTCAGCTCTGGTTTCAAACAGCTGTGCCCCTCCCAGCAGAGCAAAAGCCCTGCCAAGTCTCCCATGACAACTGATAAATTCATGTATTGATAGCTTTTACACATATAGTGCTGTATCAACCCCTTAGAGATGTGCATCTAGGAAGCTGCCTACATGGCCTGTGACTCATTTGGGTACTGAGCATGACGAAGGTCTGCTGTACCCCTCAGATGCCCATCTAGGCTGTTAATCCCTAGCCAGACCTCCTCTCTCCTCTGCCACCCAGCATCTCTCCGGACTGAGGATAAAGCAAATTTTGATCTTAACTCCCCATACACCACGATGCCTGCTTCAGATGAGTTCTCTTCTTTACAGAGATTTTGGGTGCTGAAGCAGCAAGGTCTAGTGGAAAACATCTCAGGACTGGTTTTTATTCCTAATATTATTAATTTGCTATGTCATATTGGGTAAGATTTTCTCAGTTTAGTGCTATTCCTGGTAATGATATGAATACTTATTATTTGGTAACCTATTGGTGAGGTGGGCTTAAAAAGTGAGAAATCATTTCTAAACACTGTTCTTAGAAAAAAAATGCACTTGCCAAGAAAATCACTTATTACTCTTAGAATTTCTTGGCTTTAAATATCATCCATAAGCTTACTACTCCCAAATTTCTATCTCTGGTCCATCTTTCTGTATATATTCTCCAGATATATATTGAGCTACTACTCAAAATCTCCACTTGGATGTGCAAAAGACATCTCCACCTCAACATGATCCAAACTGAACACCTGCCCCACCCCTGAGACTTGTTTCTCCTTCAGCCCTCCTCAACTCAGTTGACGGCAGAACCATCTTCCCTGATGCTCAGACTAAAAACCTATGAGTCAACTTTGGATTTACCTTCTCCCAAATCCTCTTTGCTCTGCCTTCAGATCATACCAGAATCTTACCCCTCACCACCCTGTCTGAGTTACCATCCTCTCTCCCATGGATTATTGCATTAAAAATCAATCTGGTCTTCCTGGTTCTACCGTCTTCTCTACAGTCTATTGTCAGTTTAAGAGTTGGAAGAATTCTCTTAAAACATACGCTGGATCATGTCACTCCTCTGCTTACAATTTTCTAATACTCTAAATGAAATTCAAAGTCTTAACAGTGGCCTACAAGGTCCTGTGTGATCTTCATTCCCTCTCTGTTCTCATCTCCGGCTCTCCTCCTCACTCACTCCACTCCAGACACACTAGCCACCTTGTTGCTCAGACATGCCAAGCCTTTGAATTAGCCCTTGCCTCTGCCTTGAATTCTCTTCCTCCAGGTACCTTAAGGGCCAATTCCCTCACCTCTTTCAAGTCTCAGCTCAAACATCACCATCTCAATGATGCCTGACTTACCACACTATTTGGAATTGCAAATAGCATCATCTTCCTGCCCCCATAATCCAACTGCCCTACAATTGGCTCTACTTTTTTCCACCTTTTTTTCTATAAGAAACTATCACTTTCTAATACACTATACTGATAAATTTACTAAAACATTTTCTGTTAATTATGTTTACTGTCAGTCTCATTCTGCATAAGGTAAGCTCCATCAAGGCAGGTATCTCAAGCATTTTGTTCAGTAATATGTCTCAAGTGTCTGGAACAATTCCTGACACTTTTGGGTGTTCAATAAATATTTACTTAAATACTTATTAATGAATAACTCGCTCATACAAAAGTGGTGCAAGGTTGTCTTATCTTCAACTTGTTTCCAAAGGAAAAGTATGTTGTGAATCCTACTCTTTATTTCTCAGGTGAATTCCACTTGGAAAAGCCACATGGAAAGAAAAGAGAGAAAAGCTGTCTATTTACATATTTAACTTGTTTTCTAGAGTACAAGACAGATGAATGCAGAGAAAAAGAGATCAGCCAAAGACATTGGTAAAAACGGCAGACCAACTTAAGTATACATACATTCTCACATGTTCTGTGTTTGCATAAATCTAAAGAAAAAGTTCTCTGTTGGAAATTACTTGATTATAATCTATTTTTCTATTTATTATCATTGGGAATTTAAATTTTTTTTTAGGAAAAGAATGATACTTGCATTTGGAAAATTGCTAGTCTCTTGACACCGTGAAACAAGCATGCCTTTTCCTCCTTTAAACAAATGTCATGCCTAATCCATATGTGAACTGGTAGTCAGTCTCTTTCTTCAAGAAAGAGGAAACATTGCCCAGGCTCTTATGGGATGTAAGATGTATATTTCTGATCACCAGGTTCCCTTTTACTCAAGAAGATAATGGGTTCAGTTTCTGTATTTAAAAAACACATGACGCAGCTTGGATTCCTTGCTAGTTTGTAGGAAACTTCAGAATGTCTGCAGCCCATGTGTTCTTAATGACTAGAGGACTAGTAGTGAACACATGAGCAATCTGAGCGAGATGCTGAACACTTCACAGCAGGGCACTTCGACATTGAAACCATAACAAGAACACCCTTCTCTCTGCTCCTCTCTTTCCCTTTCATCAAATGCTTCCACTTATCTCTACTTGCAGCATTTGGTTAGTCTAAAACAAACCAACCAACCCACCCCACTGAAACAAATAATGGTGTCAGGCACTGAGACTGTGCGGGCTAACTGTCCATATCTGTGCAGTTCTGCATCATCAGCCCCTGCTGGGTTCAGTTCTCATTTGGGGTCTCTCCCCTCACCTTACCCTGGGTGCCTTCCTGATTGCTTTTTATCAAGCTTCCACAGTGTGCACTGGTTCTTATTGTCTGTTGACACTCACCCTCAAGCGTTATTTTAGCTTCTCTAGTCTTAGCTCATCGCTGACATCCACAAGCTGCTGCCATCCAGGCAACTAGAATAATCTTCAAAGCAGAAAATATGATCTATGATAAACTAAGGGAAAAATTTGCCGTACACAGTACTAATATGGCTCATGATAGAAAAATCTGAAGCTCACATTTCTGAATGTAAAATTATTTTAATATGTATATGAACTAGAAGGAGAACTTAAAAATTTCATAGTTATGACACTACTTGGCCCATTGACGAAGCTGATAAAGACAGAGATATCTGTTGTCTACTGTTTTTAGATAAACTATCCATGAATCATAGGATTGTGTGTATGTATGTATGTAGATACAAATACATTCATTTGCAGAATGTAAAATACACCACTCTAATTCCCACTACAGATATTTTTGTTAAGTTTCTGATATTCTGAATTGGAATGTTAAAGTACCAAACTGCATAATTTAAAAGTTCCAGGCTAACGTCATGTTATTTCCCTTAAAAAAAATTTCATGAAACCACCTTTATATAAGGAGTTATAGTTAACAGACACAGATTTGGGTACACTGAATAGGTGAAAATTGCACAAAATCTTTACATTTGAACTACCTTTAAGATAAACAGCTGTTCAGACTACCTGTACCCAACTGATATCTAACTAGCCCAGTTAATTTTTAAAAAACCCTTCATTCTCTTCCCAAAATTTTCAGCCAAATGCCCTAATTAATGTTAAGATAGGGCAACAAATAATATTTAGTAAGTATCAATTCACCTTAAAAGAAATTCGTGTAATATGAATAGTTGCTGAATCTAGGTGGTAGGTATGCAGATGTTTGCTGTGCTAGTCTTTAAACTTTCATTTCAGAAAAATTTCATGTTACAATTTTGAGGGAAAGAAAGACATTTATTACAAATACACTTAAGATAAGCAAACTAGCCCAAACAATACCACGCACCAGAAAGCATCCAATACACCCAGACTTTAAAAGCTAAGCAACATATATGAATATTGTGATTTTATATAAACTTTAATCATCCAAGAACTGTGTTAGCAATGTAATTTGGGTTTTGTTAACTACAAAGGCATAAAGAGATATTTAGAACTAGTTTCCTGTTAGCAAAATGTTTATAAACTCTGACATCCTATCAAGTCTAGCTACTGTGTGTGTGTGTGTGTGTGTGTGTGTGTATGCACACAAAATATATCACCACCATGGAACAGGACCCCCCAGTTACCCACCAAAGGTTTATGTAAAATCATCAAATAATAATTAAATAACTTTACCTAAATAGGTAAACTCCTACTTAAACAATTCAGTCTGCCACATGAGCTACTTCTTTACACAGCTTAACCAATTTTCACGGTAAATTTAAAAAATCCTTCCTCAGGTGACTTTTTTTCCTTAGAGTCAATTTTTATATCTTTCATATTTTTGCATTAAAATGTTATACAGAACTAGCTACTTTAATTATAGAGGGAAAAAGCAGTATCAATATTATGGGTTGCAAGTGGAAGTTTGAACTTACCAGTACACTTTAGGGGATAGATAAAGCATGTATATTATTACCTATAATCAGAAAGCAAATGTGTCTTATCAGATCACATCATTTCCTCGCTCAACAAACATCTCTAGTTTTCTGTCATCCACAGATTAAAATCCTGTCTGGATAGTGGTTTCTAAAACCTTCAGGTTGTGGGCAGCCTCTCCAGTCAAATGTCCCCACTTCAGATGAAAATATCCTTTGATCCAGTTAAACTAGAACATGTTATTTCCGTCTCCTTGCTGTTCTTTAAAGGGCGCCCTCACCTAGGATTTTCCCTGGTTCCTTACGTAAACATTCACCCGTTCTCAGGCGCAGGCTCACATGCCATCTTTCTCACGCAGTGCTTTCCGACCTGCCGCGGAAAGCCCCCTCTCCCAGCCCAGCTACCCCAGAGCTCTCAGAAACCATGGGATGCCTGATCACACTCTACCTGCGGCCTGAGGAGGAGCTCAATCAACCTTTATTGAATTAAATTGTATAGAAACATTTGCTACAACATAAAATAACTGAAATAAGGTTTAACAGAATACAGTATAGTCAATGTAACTAAAATTATGAAATCTGACATCTCTTCTACAGAAAAAAAAGGACCAGAGGTATAGGAAAATGGAGGTTTCTCCTGAAAGGAAACTAAAAAAAAGAAAGAAAATGAATCCTGTATTTTATTATGGTGCTCAAAAATCAGAAATACCTTAGAAAATTTTGGTTGACTTTTACATTCAACCTTAACAGTGTTTCTTTTGCATATATGTCCTTTGTGTGTGAATATATACATACACATTTTGGTATTTTATGTACATACCAAATTAATCTTCTAATAGTTTTGTCACTAAGTCACTTTAAACTCTCATCCTCATTCTGAAGTTACTCTGCCATTTCCTCAAATCAAAAATAAAAAGGTGACGCCCGGCGTCGCCCCGAGGGCTTCGGCCCCGCGGCGGGCGGAGCTCCCCCGGGCCGGCCCTCCCGGGGCGCGGGCTTGCGGCCGTGACGTCACGCCCGGGACACACCGTGGCGGCGAGGCCTCGCGTCCGGTAACGGCCGGTCGCCCAGGAGACGCGAGTACACGGAGCGGACCGGCTCCGACCGGACCCCGAGTGCTCGTGGCGGTCGCCCCTCTGCGGACAAGCCGCGTCGCGGGCGCCATGAGCCAGAGGCAGGGGCTGCAAGTGTTCGAGCAGTACCAGAAAGCCCGGACCCAATTAGTGCAGACGGTGGCAGAGCTGGCGACCAAACCCCAGAACATTGAGACGCTGCAGAACGCGGGTGTGATGTCTTTGCTGAGGCCACTTCTTCTGGATGTGGTTCCGTCAATTCAGCAGACTGCTGCTTTGGCTCTTGGGAGACTGGCTAATTACGATGATGACCTAGCAGAAGCAATTGTGAAGGTGACATTCTCCCACAGCTTGTTTCCTCATTGGCAGAACAGAATCGTTTTTACAAGAAAGCAGCTGCCTTTGTGCTAAGAGCAGTTGGTAAACATTCACCTCAACTAGCACAGGCAATAGTTGATTGTGGAACACTGGATGCGCTGATAATATGCCTGAAAGATTTTGACCCCGGAGTCAAGGAGGCTGCAGCCTGGGCCCTTGAATATATTGCAAAACATAATGCAGAACTGTCACAAGCTGTGGTGGATGCAGGAGCTGTACCTCTTTTAGTACTCTGTATCCAGGAGCCAGAAATTGCTTTGAAAAGGATTGCTGCTTCGGTCCTCAGTGATATTTCAAAGCATTCTCCGGAGTTAGCACAGACAGTAGTGGATGCGGGAGCTATTGCTCACTTAGCACAGATGATCCTGAACCCTGATGCTAAATTGAAGCAACAGGAGCTCTCAGTCAGATTGCAAAACATTCTGTGGATCTGGCAGAAATGGTGGTTGAAGCAGGGATTTTTCCAGTTGTACTTACCTGTCTGAAGGACAAATATGAATACATGAAGAAAAATACTTCTACTTTAATTACAGAGACTGCAAAACATACACCCAAGCTTTCGCAGCTGATAGTTAACGCAGGAGGAGTTGCTGCTGTGATTGACTGCATTGGGTCCTGCAAGGGGAATATAAGACTGCCTGGCATCATGATGCTTGGTTATGTAGCAGCTCATTCTGAGAACCTGGCAATGGCAGTGATCATTTCCAAGGGTGTGCCCCAGTTGTCAGTCCGCTTGGCAGAAGAACCAGAAGATCACATTAAGGCTACTGCCGCTTGGGCCTTAGGACAGATTGGGAGACACACTCGAGAGCATGCCAGGGCTGTCGCAGTCACAAATACTCTGCCAGTTCTGCTTTCTTTGTACATGCCAACAGACAGTTCTGAAGATCTTCAAATAAAAAGTAAAAAAAGCCATAAAGAATATCTTACAAAAATGCACCTACTTATCAGCCCTTGAGCCATTTCCGTATGATGCTCCTCCCAATATTCTGAAGCATGTGGTTGGACAGTTCAGTAAGGTGCTGCCACATGATAGCAAAGCTAGGCAACTTTTTGTGACAAGTGGTGGACTTAAAAAGATTCAAGAGATAAAAGCTAAACCTGGATCTCTCCTTCAACAATACATCAACAGTATTAACAACTGTTACCCAGAGGAAATAGTAAGGTACTATTCCCCTGGATATTCAGATACACTTCTGCAGAGAGTGGACAGCTATCAACCACTTACTAAGAAAAGATACTTCTTATGAATGATAGTTAAAGCTCTTTTTAAATATCTGAACTAAGAACATTCCAGATTTATTCAATGTGAAATATCTTTGAATAATATTCCTAAATGTATGTAATACTTTAAACATTAGTGGCTTGAATATGTGAAGGAGTATCATGGTCATTTGGATAGGATTTGCTCTAAAGGTAGATTTTAAAAGGACAATAAAGGGTTTTAAGGCAAAAAAAAAGGGGGGTATCAAAAGGCTGAGGAGGTTGTACATATCTCTCCCACATCTGTGTTAAATTGGCAATGAGCTTAGCACCAGGAGTGCATGAATATGGATTGCTGGCTTGTGACAGCAGAATGAAAACATGATGTAGCGACACAATTCAATTCTTATCAGTGGCTCAAAGAGTACCTCTGTCTTGAAATGACTAATTACAGATCCAGTTGTTATCTATTATAGCTTCTATTAACAGTTCTCAACAAGACCCTAATACCATTCTTGCAGAAAATCACTATAAGATGAAAGTCTGGAAGAAAATAAATTTAGACATTTAATGCTATTTGCATTTCATCTTAAAGCTGGCCTACAAATGCTCTATGGTCCATTAAATTTTGATCATTTCAAGCATATTCCATTACTTCTTTATACAAAAGACCTTTAATATGTGTAGAAAAGAAACTAGTATATAATACACGAAATGCTGTTTCTGTCTTTTACATGATGGCAAACATCAGCAACAGCTAATTGCAAAAATGTTGAAACCATGTATTAGTGATGATACACTGATGCAGAGTTTCCATTTCTTATTTTTGTATATTTTGAAAATGAAAAACACAAGAACTAATATTGCCAATATTTTTTTAAGTTGCTGCATTTTGCCTTATGCACAAAAACTCATTTGCCTTTTGAATACAGAACAGATTAAATAGCCTGAGGAACAAACATATTACTCTGAAAATGGAACAAACCAAGTTTATTTGCTGCAAAATTTCATCAACATGGTGTGTTGAACTACTGATTCTTTAAGGTGCCACTAGCTCTGGGTACCAAATAAAGCCTACCTAAAAACACATTATAATTTACTTTCAAATCTCTATAAGAACATGATCACTGAACTACTTCTCATTGCATATATTAATTTCTTATGACATGGCTTTATGTGGTTTTCAAATATTAAGCTAGGCATTTCAATAATAACATCTCCAAACCAGCAACAAATAAATACATAAAAGAAATGACTGGAGGTCGATTTGATTGAGGGAGGGCATGAATCCATCATAGTAAACTGAACAATGATCTTTAAAAATTAGACCAGGAACAAATGGACTCCAGCCAGCCTCTTGTGAAGGGTGGAGAGAGATCATCCATGCTCTATCTATTTATTCTACCACCCACTCCAAAGGGGAGTGATGAGAAATGACATGGCTGCCCACCAGCATAGTCTCCATTACCTCTACAGAAGCACTGCCCTTTTCCTGCTTCCCTAAGTCTTTATTATGTGGCTGAGATCCTCTGTAAGAGCTCTTTACCCTCAGATTTAATAGATACCTTGACAATAGTGCTAACAGTAACTAAACATATTTGAGCATTATATGCCAGGTGCTACTTTAAGTCCTTTGTAGGAATTAACTTATTTAATCCTTTCAATATCCCTATGAAATAAGTCATACTATGACACCCATTCACCCATGAGAAAGCTGAAACAAGTGGGGGTGGGTTCATCGTGGCATCATAAGTAGCATGTAAAATGTGACTCTAAATAATGGAAGCTGTGATCCTCAAGCGGGATGCACTGCACAACACACAGTGGCTTCCATCTCCTGGAAGTCCTGAGAGGGTGGCAGGGGCCTGACCTTCTCCTGAAAGGCAGTGGTGCAGTGGTACTGCCAAGCCCCAGGCACATGGGTGCAGTCTCCTGGGAGTATGTCCAGCAGCAGCTCCACAGAAAGCATTTAACCAGTCATTATCACAGCCCTTTATTATTGTTATTATTACTCCTCTTTTTCATTTTATATGGAATTGTGCTGTTCCTTGGAGGACAAGCAGGCAGAAAGAATGGCCTCCAGGGAGGACTAAATGCAGTGTGATGGAGGACTAAACTGAAGATCAAAATAATAAGGTCAAAGAGCCCTCGATCAGCGCACCTCTGAAAGCAGGGGGAGAATGACCCAGCAAACATCCTCCTACCTCCTTTGTCTCCTCCACCTAAAAGAGAGGAAAGACTGAGCATGACCTGAGAATTGTGACAGGTACAGAAGACCAATTATATGCAAAATTATATGATGTATTAAAACATTTTCTTGAGTGTAAAAAATGCTCTCTGCTGGCTGGCAGAGGGATCCAGCACCTCTGTGGAAACCGATTATGATCTTTATTACAGATTCAGAGATTCAGATGAACCACATGTAGTCTCTACATCTTATCTTGCAACACCACCAGTAATAAAAGGAGAATCACTGAGACTTTTCCCCCTCCTTTAAATTCTTTTTAGGCAATAAAATGGGTGCAGTCAAATGTATTTATGAATTTACTATTTTAAAATTAAGTCCTTTGGAAGTTAAGTTTAAATGACAGTGTTTGGTGAATGTAAAGTTAATCCTCCTGTTTCTCCTTCCCTCCACATCACCTTTCTATTTTATTCCCTGTGTGTGTGTGTGTGTGTGTCTCCCTCCCCCTTCAACATACGCACACTTAGTACTTCTGAACCACTAACCTTTGAGGCTAAAATCTCACATATCTTATTCAGGTAAAATCCTTTTCCAAGACCTGGAAACTCATGTCAGAATAAGCACCTGAGATGAGACTATTTTTGGAACCTCAAGATTGTTCATTCTATGCTAAAGACAAATCCATTAAATAGTGATCTTGAAAATAAAGACATGTAAGTTTACAATATAGCCTGTTTCTAGTCCCAATTGCAGTGAAAGCAGTAATGATTTTTTTTAACTTTTGACTTTCATAGTATAATTCTGAATTTTTAAAAAATTTCTACAAATAATGACAAAATGATTTAGTTTCTAGAACCAAAATATTTATTTTCTTCTTTATAAATGACATTTCATTATAATTTAGAAGCCTATAGCCAAGAGTTACTGGTATTTGTGACTTATCTCTCACCTTATTTTTCATGTGTTACTCTTATATGAGGCTAGATGATACTCATAACATGAAAATTTCATATTGTTGGCCCTGCACTCAATAAATTATTAAAGTGATGTGAATAGGAATGTGGTGTTCAGGTTTTCAGCAATTTTTATCCTTTTGTTCTTTCTTTTTTAAAGGGAAGAGTACCTTGCCTATAACTCATCATACCTTTTTAAAATTTAAGCAAAGATTAGCCTTAAAAGAAAGCATTTTGGGAGATTTATTACCCCCAGCCTTTTTAATGAAGTTCTAAGGATTTTCTTTTCTTTGACACACGGATGTTAATTAATCTTTTCTAGGCTGAGAAAAATAAGCCTAGTAATTCTCCTAAGCACATATATTGGTAAATGCATTACAATAAAAGGCACAGATGCCTAAAGAAGAAAACACATACGTAATTTTTCCCATATAATCAGGTGTTTAAAGCCTTTACACAATCAAAAAGGTCTATAATTACTTTGTTTTTATTACACTTTCTTGGATTTTTTTCTTTTTAACACAAAGTGTCCCCTAATTCCTCCAAAATGTGATTTTGACTAAGGGTAACTAAAGAAAATTAGAACTATTTTAACAAATCACTGGTGATTCCTAGTAGTGTCCCAAGTTGTTCAAAACATTAATATATGCTTTTCTTTGTAGTTTTGCTTGGTTTGCTATTATACCATGAAAAATTTTCAAAATATTTTCATATTTGCAACAACACTGTTACTTTTTCAAGAACATGCTAAGGGTGACATTGCTGGTACTCATGTACACAGCATCTATCTCTTTCCATGTTATGTGACAGAGATAAATAATACTTCTTCATGTTTGTAAACTGATTAAATCAACATTAGTAATTAATAATTGATAGGACTCCTAGGCATAGTTAAACTGAATACAGGTATAAAAATACTACAATTATTTTAAAAAGGGGTTTTCTATAGTATTCTCATTTGACTTTTCTGTTATGTTCATTTCAATACACTTAACTAATTATAAACAACTGGGCTAAAACCAAAGAATTCATTAAATGCATATTGAGTGAATTTCACATATGGTATACATGTGATTAAACTATAACACTCTATAGCTAACTTATATAGGACAAATATAAAATTCCCAATTACTTTATGGTAAGACCAAATGTTTGTATGTATGTGTTTGTGTGTGTGTGTGTGTGATGTGAGGATGTGTGTGTGTTTATCTTGCTCAACTCATTCATTCATTAAACATATTTATAAAGTGCTATAACTTGATACTGGTGATATAATGTGAAGCATCTGTATGTTTACAAAAATAACATTTGAATAATTGTTCTTGCCCCTTTTTCATAAGAATCCATATTCTACATTTTAAAATCAACTCATAATATCCAAAATTGCTAACACTGAGATTCAATGATTCAGATCCCTAGGTCTCCTGCTCCCCTAACCTGACTTCCCCAGAGATTCTGGTTCTGTAGGATTGGAATAAAGTCCAGGAATTAGCATGTTTAACAAGTATTCATCCCAGGTAAATTTTGTGTAGGTGGCCCTGGGATAGACCAATTACAGTGATATGAAATTCTTCAGATTGCTACCTCATGAGAAATAGAATTTCCAATGAAGGCTATCCATGGAACTAAAAATTATAATTGAGTAGAATTGAACCTACATTAAGAATTCCACTACAGTAAAAAGCCACTTTGCCTTTTATTATTCTGAAGTTTCCTCCTAGTACAGATGATGTTTAACAAGATGAGGATATAATGGGACACCTGTTCTTAGGAGACCTTTTGTGTGCCAGCAAAATCTCTCTGATAAGGACAGAAACAAATCCAGCATGAGAATGAGCAGCCAAGGTTGGAATAGTTTTGAGCTGAGCACTAAAGAGCAGTGACAAAGCCTGTGGTAACATTTTGGCAGAGACTACTGTATGTCCTGACCGTGAATGAAGAA